TGCACATCGCATCGCAACCGGAGTCGACCCCCGTCTGCGGGTAGGTGATAGAGAGAGAGAGAGAGACTGAGGGTTGAATCAGTGTTTTTTAGATACGCATGTTTATATAATAGGCTCCGATAGGCTCAACTCTATGCAGAGGCCCGGGGCCTGGTAGAGGGATCGAATCGCAATGATGTTTCCTTCAAAGACTTGCGGTCAGCTACACTTCAGATACTGACACTTTCAGCCCTTCTGCCAGGATGGGGTGACCTAAAGTGAAGCTCACAGTGAATGAGCCCTATCACTTCAACCACAATTGGGTGGCCTGAGGGCGCAAATGAAACCACAGTCGAGGAGCCCTCACCTCGTTACTTCCAATGAAGGGTATAGCTGTAGAGCCCTTCAACCACGGTTGGGTGACGTGAAAATCAATTAGTAGAGTGAGGAGACCTGATCTCGTTACTTCTAATGAAGAGGATAGCTAGAGCGGTGTTACTTCTAATGAAGGGTATAGCTAGACCAGGATTGGGTGGGCCAGAGTGAAGATCACAATGGAGAAGTTCCCTATCTCCCTTTTTCTAGTGATGGGTTTAGCCTGAGGGTGAGGATCACAGTACATAAGCCCCTTAGCTCGTCACTTCCAATGAAGGGTATAGCCAGATCTCTGACTGGAGAGCTGCAGCCAGGATTGGATGGCGCAAGGGTGAAGATCACAGTGGAGGACCCTTATCTTGTTGTGAGACACCTCTTGGGCGGTCCTCGAACAACGTTCGAATGTTTTCGAGAACCCACAAGGAACAAAAATTGGGTGTTTGCTGGATTCCAGAACCACTCTTCGCATCAAGCGAAATGTGGCAGCTCGTGCTTGGCCAAAAATAGATTGTGGAGCAAATATCGGGTGCGGTTTTAGATGGTTTTTCCATGTGTTTCCTATGTTGAGTGATTTTTTCTGAATCATGGGGCCTCACAACTCGCTGCTATTTACAGCGGTTTGGGCGTCTTGTTTACAACCCCTTGGACATACACCCTCCACGCAGCTGATGTCAGCAGTTGCAGTTGGGGCCTCCTCTATGTTTTCCCTGGGCTGGTCCACAAATGGTAGGCTACGTTGGAATGGCTCCTCCCTCCTAAACTTTACACTCCGCGACAAATAGAAGAGTTCTATATAATGGCGCTTTTTTGTGGGTTTCTGATCTGATGGTTTCTGCATGTTTCTGCTGTGACCGGGACTCTTTGGAAGCCGATAGGTAAAGTTGAGGCGAGTCGAGGGATACAGCGCCATGAGGTACACGGAGCAGATGCTGGAGGATTTTTTCAAGGAGCTTTTGGCTAAAAGGGAACGAGTGGCTTGGGTCAGACCATACTGCGAAGAATCTGGGCACTCTGCGGAAGCTGGCTGATGAATGCGCAATTCGCGTGCAAATAGGCAAGGTGTTTGATATCGAACTTGGTGGAGCAGTTGGGCAAGCGACTGGCACCATGACAGGAGGCAGAAGATCGCTGGCGGGAGTTACAAACACAAGCCAGCGTTCAAGGCATGGAGTGGTGCCCCAACAATCACACGTCATGCCACAGGAAGTCCGGCAGTGGCCACGATTGGCCACGAGTGTAGGCAGATGTGAAGTTTGGAGCCGCCAGCACTTCTCAAAAGCAAGTTGTTGCTCGTATTGGGCGTGGTCACAAAAAAATACAAAAAGGTATGCTACCTTGGAACGCCTCCTTCCTCCGCTAATGTTTATTAAATTCTACCCTTAGGCGGCCCACCAAAGGTATGCTACATTGGAGTGGCTCTATCCCGGGTGCAGAAGTAGAGAGTGCACTTGAAGATCTGCATGTGGTTCTTGTCTTCGTGGCAGGCGCAGCATCCTTAAGCAGCCCCGACGAAGAAAAGTGGCTGCCTTAAAAAGTTGTAAGGGACAGGCTTGCCTTAGATGCCAGCCTAGCTGTAGCAACGGACGGAAGTAACGGGAAGCAATGATGGGTCAGATTTCGTGCAAGCTGTTGGTGCACTGCAGCATGGTCCACACTTAAACACATCGGTTTCGCGGAAGAAATTGCGTAGATTTTGTGGCGCTGGAGGAGGGCTGGGGGGTGGGGCACAGTGAGAGAATATGACAAAACAAAACCAACACAAACAGAAAAGCGAAGGAAAAAAGCAAAGGCCCGCACCAAAAGCAGCAACAACAAACAAAAGCAAAGGCAAACACCTGAAGCAAAAAATAGTATATATAAAAGCAAAACATCAGAACCAAAAAGCAAAACTCCCTTTTAAAAAAATGCACATCTGTAAATATAAGAATGAGAGTAAACATCCGCATCCATCTTGACGGTTCCTATTTGGAAAAGACATACGCTCACTGACGCTCGCATTTGGTAGAAAAGACCCATGCCCAGGATCATGGGACTGGTTCCACGAAGCAAACCTTGAAGTTCTGAAGCAGGCTACTGACCATAGCTGGTCTTTCAGGCGATTGCACACATTTCAGTCAAGGCTCCATAAAGTCATCCTTGCCAGCCGCAGTGTCGCCATAGAAGGGATCCTCCGTCGACAGAGCTCCGTCGCACTTCGCGAGCTGTTGGAATCGCCGAATTGGCCCAGCTGGCCCAGCTGGTCTGGTTTATGGCTGCTTCAAAGTCAAAGCCATGGCTGGCTGCCAGATTCTCACCCACACCGTCATACAATTAGGGGATGGGGATGGTCTTGGTTTACATGATGGAGTTGAACAAACCCTGGGTTGGGCCCTGGAGTTGAACACATGGTTTTGAAACTACCCTCTCCTTCAGGAACAAGGACGCTATTAGGGCTCCTGGCCTACTAGGAACAAGAAGCTACTAGGGGCCCCTGGCATCGCTACTAGGAGCAAGGACGCTACGAACGGGGCTCCTAACTCTCGTGTTCGCGTGAAAAACTCCCTTCCTCGACGCCGCGAGTCCCGTTCCGCCGTGGCGCCGAGAGCAGCACGCGGTAGCCCTGGTCTGCCAAGGTGTCGGCGATGCCCATCAAGCGTCCGGCGTTGGATTGCCAGCCAAAAATGTCTGGCAGCACCTGAGCCAGGCAGTCTGGCCGTCCGTCCCGTGTTTTTTCAACACGGGTGTTTCGTTGGTTGCAAAGACTCTTCACCCTGGGAAAGGGAGCCAGCCAAGTCATGGACTTCAACAAAAGAGTGTTAGAGAAAGGTCGATCCTTGTTGACGAAGAAAAAGCCTTTTCTCGTGCTTCTTTCCGTCTCTTGAAGTATTTGAGGCCCGGGGCCGAACTAAGGCATTGAACTGAGGCCGGATCGAGGCATTCAACTCCCCATTCTCTCGATGTTCACGACTCCGTGGGCGTCGGAGAGTTTCGAATCGGTTGAGCCTCTCAATCTGCCACAGACCTCCTGAAGCACTCAACGGAGCATATCTCCGTTTCACTAGGTCACTTTCGTTGAGCGTCTGGAACAAACAATGAACAAACACGGACTTAGATTCAGCGGAAATTCCTTTCAGCACAACACCCCTATCCCTTCCAAAAGAACGACACCATGTGGGTCTGGCTAAAACATAGAGACTGATCTGTGTTCATCAGTGCTCTTGGATTCAATTCTTTATCTTCACCCTTTAGACGGAACAACATGGAACAACTTCGCGCGTGCCGCGCGCGAAGGGTTTGAACGTCTGCCCAGGCGCGAGCACTGCCTTCTCTCCAGCTCCGACCTCATAGACCTCAAATTGAAAATCCCGATGCGGAGCCGGGTGGGCCGATGCAAATGGACCAAGGAGTAAGCCAAGGAAAGAAGTGTTTCAGCCGATCACTTTAGATTCAAACGAGTCTTCAAACATGTCTATCGTCTCAGTTTGTCCGACCATCGAATAATGGTCAGATGTCACCACTGGTCGACAAATGTCCAAAGCAGCGGTTTCGGTGGTGACGACTTCTTCCCAGCTGCATTAAGCTCACCCAACTTGGTCTGGGTGCCCTTGGGCTTGTAGTCATCTGAGGATTGACCTGAGCGAAACCGGTGACCGCGCTTGATCCGATCAAGCCTTGAGGCTCGAAGTGCACCCCGTTTCCGGTGAAAGGTGATGAAAGGTTAACACTTGTCCGTTGGGTGATGTGTGAGAACTAGTACCTGTCTGTGTGCCCTGTTGCAGCTCTACCACTTCGTAAAGTCTACGAGTCTACAACTTGACTCCCGAGACGTCCGGGCATCCGAGATTGCGTCCGCAGCCCATAGCCCATCACAACACACCATCCCTTCGACAGGTGACACGCGGGCCATGATCCCGGCGGACAACAGGCAGCCATGGCTCGTACAAAACTGGACAGGCGGAGTTGGTTCGAAACGGCTGTGGCGTTTTGGAACAAACGGGCCACGGGTGTCTGGCCAACTTGCAAAATGCGGAGTGCAGACGAACCAATGACGGACCTCCTAATGAGTTGGTTATTGGTGCGCAAAGAACGAGACTCGTAGTCTGATAGAAAGATACAAAAAACAAGAAGATAACACCATGTCAAAGGAACACATGACCCCGCAGGAGCCAGCTCAAGAGATCATATGCAAAGATCTCATTTTCGGTCAACCAAGGTCCCCTGGTTTGGACCCACAGGTACCAAGAGTCTCCAGAACTTGGAACCTGAAAAAGGTGTGTGAGGCCAACACCATCCGGTCCACACCAAACCGCTCCACTTCGGTCTGTCCACGGATGTCCCAAGAGGGAGTGGACCTGTCCACGGATGCGGAGACGGGTCCACACCGTTCACATGTGGAGTCAGCCAACGCCAATCGACCAGCTACCAAAAGACTGACTCGGGTGACATCCTTTGACATCCCAGACAATGCCATATACAGTATACATATATTTTATATCACCTGATTGACGCAAAAACAGAGTATCATTCCTATCAAAACAGAATGGGTTCTAGGATATTATGCACTGCATAGACTTACACATGACATTCATATATATATATATATATGTCTTATAATGGACATGGTTCATCCATCCATCTCCCGTCCCATCCGTTTTCGCTGAAGGGGCAGTGGGTCTCATGCTCCGGGATGCCGTCCGACTCAATGGGCTCCGACTCCACGGCCAGCAGCACCGAGCGGCCGAAGAGCTCGCGCCACCTGGAGCTCCACGGCATAGTGGTCAATCGATTCCCGTCCGTGGTCTGAGGATGTTGTTTAAGATTGTATCAAGTTCCAGTAACCCTTTCCTCGCGCGAATCCTCAAGGGTTTCGTTTCACCATGTTTCGCTTACCCACTTGCCGTCTTGCCATGATCTCCCTTCGATTGATCCATTGACTCCGCGATCCATGATCCATCTGGAATGATCCACATCCATCGTTTTCGTTCCCCACCCTGGCAGCTGCCAGGCGCTGGCTCCAAAGAGCATCACGTGATCCAAGCCCTCGCGACGACGCAGAAACGGCAGCCCCGCCGCCGCGGCCGCGGCGTCACGGAGGCGCTGCTGCCGTGCCAAGGGGTTGCTGAACTGCAACTCCTCTGCAGGTTTTGGGGGGCAAAACAGTATATAATCAGTATGGATGTCCCGCGCTGCTTTGGCAGCCTGAAAAGTATTTGGATCAACACGGACCAATCAGGAGTCTTGCAAACTCCTTTCTGAACAGCACATATATATATATATATGTATCTTGGAGATTTGGAGGGTCCAAATCCATGCAAGAGATATGTTGCGTCATGTTGTGCCTGTGTTTGGGTAAACCCACATCAAGGCCAGGCTTTGCATTTTCCGGCTGAGCCTTCACTCGGTTCCAGGTCACCTAAACGGTTCCAGCTTCACTCGGTTCCGGGTTCCGAAGCCGTCGCTCGTCCCTCATCTCCCCTCATCTTCGCTCCCAACAGGTCAAATAGGCTGGCACGAAGAAGAGCTCCTGAGACGAAGAAAAGGCCCGTCGATGTCGACGGATGTCGGATCCCGGGAAATGGCTCGTGGCTTTTTGCGGGACTGGGACGTCCAAGAAGTTGCAGTCCTAACATCAAATAACAATTGAAGATCTACTTGTCTGACAGACTTGGATCATAACAACAAGTTTCACCTTGCAGTGGTCCCCAAATGATTGTAAATGACAATGCCATGGATATGAATTACTATTGGACCCTTGGCAAAGAAGTTTTGCTTTTCTCAGCCTATAGTGCAGCCTCAACTACAACTGTTTGCGCTCCTAGGATGACTGAGGTTGGCAGAATGAGCTTGCTCTTGACTTATTGACAGTCACCATCTGTTTGGATAGATATCCAGCTTGGAAGCAATTCTCTATAAGGCCCTTGTGTCAGCTCGTGTCGTCTTAAGGTCTACCAGTGTCTACCAGTGAAAAAATAACAAACTATAATAAACTACAGTGATTGTTTTTGCCTCATCCCAAAGAGGTGACTCGCCACCCTCGTTTCAACGCCAAGCTTCTGCTTTTTCGGGGTCATGGGTTCGGCATTTGCTCTGTCGGAAGAAGCGATCCAAGTACACCTCACAACGGGTGTACAAACGGCCAGGCAATGTGAGGGGATACTGGGTCGTGTCTGCTCACGGGCCATGCTCCAAGTGACTATACAAGGAAAATCAAGGAAAACGGTTGAACATGGTTGAACTGATATGACCGAAGCAGTGCGAACCACCCATTACATCAAACATCATCAAACATACAAGCTGATGGGCGGGCATGGCCCACCTCTTTCAACCGATCAGGTTTGCAAAGAGCCACAAGCAATGCTCAAGTACCCCTTACAAGAGGAAGGTCAAACACTTAGTGGTTTCAGCACCTACTGCCACATTTCTTTGTGGCTGTGGATGGTGGAAACCACCTGGCTTAGCATAGCTTGGCCAAAGTGACTGGACATAGACACCTAAGCTTTTTGAAATGCTTCGACAATCAAAAACAGGAAATACAAAACTGTAGAGTCCAAGAGTCTAAACAACTTTCTGCTGTTGCCCACTCAAGACTCAACCACAAAACCACATGCAACAACACTGAGAAAGAAATGGCAACAACTCTTGCACATGACGGAGTCATGCGAACCAAACTTAAATGAGGTGCCACCATGGTGCACATCCTACTTTTCAAGACATCCAAGGAACCCACCCACTTCCTTCCAATTCACCATTCTTCGTGAAGCGACCGCACCTCTGAGGCCCAAAAGCCCGTGCGGGCGCAGGAAAGGAAGGAGTCGGTCTTCATCTCCTGTCCCGTTTCGAGCGGTGACTGTCGCCGATGAGGATGACAAAGGAAGCATTTACGTCCAAAGGAAGTCTGGAAGCATTGGATGTAAAGGAAGCATTTACCTGTCTGGCAGCCTTGCAGCCTGGTGCGTGATGTCCACAGAAGTCACGCCGATGCGTGGGAAAGGGTGCGTTTCCACGACGGTCCTCCAGACGTTCGCTCTGTTCGTGATCTTGTTTCCCCTCGTGTGGTGGATTGGAGGACACAGTGGACACTGTGTCGAGCATGGCCGGAGAAGAACAAGAACCCCCTGATCCTTGTTGCATTGGTGCTCACGTGTGGCCCTTGCTTCGATTTTAACCATCCGTTCTGGCTTCCAACACGCAATAGGGCGGTGGTTGGGCACAGTTTCTGCGAGAGTTGTTCACCGCGTGTTTCATTGAGGCTTCCTAGTCTGGATTTGGAAGTAAGTCTGAGTTTGATTGGGGGCCACGGTCATGGACTTCGGTTTACTTGAATCATTTGGTTCACCTCAAATACCCCAATGCCCAACTTCCGTACCGGCCTTGTCGTAGACGTAGATCTTGGGGGCCCCTTCAGGACAGAAGTGGAAGCGTTGCTCTGTGCCCATCAGCAGGTCCAGGTGCCCAAACCTCAAATGCACCGAGTGGGCCAAGGCCGCTGGTTTCCCTGTGCTGCTTTCAAGATGCTTGAAAAACCTCCCATTCAGCGACTCGCATCGACTCGCCAATGTTGGAAGGACACCTGTGAACTTGATGGTTTGAACGGGAGTCTAGACGGAACAATCTACCAAAGAATCAAAGCCCTCAACAAGTGAACTCGGGGTATCAGGCTATGAGTCTGCGAACTTGATTGGTGTCCTATTGACGTGGGAGTGAAGGAAGGAACCTCACTTAAAAGTTTCCAGCCAGCCCTGGGTCAGCCCTGCTGATATGGCCACCTATCATTCAAAACCCATACGGAATCCCTGGAAGCATGTTGTTGGATAGTCCATTTCCTAAAGAGGAGTCTGCAACTCGCGGAAGTCACCGTCGCTCATGGAAGTAAAGCATGCACTACATAGAACTTCAACCTCTGCATTAAAGGCTGTAATTCCTTTTGGGCATGCTGACACAGGTTGCCCGGTTCGCACCCGCATGTTGACACCATGCATCTGTGTGTGTGTGTGTGTGTTGCAGGCCGTGGAACAGCGCATGATTCACCATGTCGTTCCAGCGGCAATCTTCGGAACCTACTCGTTCGCGTGGAGGGGGAAGAGTGGAACATGTGGTCCCACATGGCTTGTGCGTAGCGAGGGCATCGCTACTAGGAACAAGTGCATCGCTACTAGGAGCAAGGGCCTTACTAGTAGTAACAAGAAGCTCCTAGTAGCTTCTTGCTCCTAGTAGCGATGCCCTTTGCTCCTAGTAGCGTCCTTGCTCCTAGTAGTAAGGCCAGGAGCCCCTAGTAGCTTCCTTGCTGCTAGTAGCGATGCACCTTGTTACTAGTAGTTTCTTGTTACTAGTAGTAATGCCCTTGTTACTAAGAGTGCAAATCATTACGACTTCCTTCAGGCACGAATGGTGAGACCTTCAACTATCAGGCCTTGCTCAGAGGGCTCGCTGACTGAATTTCGCTACAAGTTTCCTGGGATGTGTTTCCCATCACGAGTTCCCAAAACGTCAAACAAAATTAATCTTAGATCTTTCACTACGTGTCTCAATGGCACTAGTGGCTTTATAAGCAATTGTAATGCATTGGTGCAAGATCAAAACAATCACATATATAATATAGATTATGTTTTTCCAATTTACGTTCAGGATCATTCAGGTGGACATGGCGTAGAGCCTCATTCACTCGACGGGGGTTCCACTCGGTCTCTCCATTTCTACTACCAATTCGTCGCAACTTTTGACATCTTTCTCTGGAACCCTTCCAGTCGTACAAGGCCTACTCGGCCGATGGTGACCATGTGTTGCCATGGTGACACCATGTGCTACTCAACTCTTCCGCCGGAGAAGGTCGCGAGTGACTGGCCTGCCGCCCCTCCCAAGATCCGATAGGCCAGGCGATACCTGAGAGCGTTTTTGCCGGTGGACTGAAGCGGCCTTCTTTCTTGATCGAGCAACGGGAAGGCTTCGCAATCCAACGGAAGGAGTGATGTGGAGTGAAAAGATCCATCGACATCCATCGACCGCTTTCATTACAAAGGAAAACTCCTCATTGTTCTCAACTACAGAATTGATCCACAACATGTGCGATTCTCTTTCGAGTGATCTCGCGGTCGAACGTTGGACGGTCTGAATGCTCAAGGCTTCCGTTTAAAAAGCCAAGGCCTATAGGCGCTTTATGAGCCTGCCACTAAAGCGTGGTTGACACATGTTGACACAGAGTGGTCAAACTATCCTTGTGCCATCTCAAATTGAACCTGGCCTTTTCGTCCATGCTCTTTGATGGTCTATTCCAGGAGACGAGCAACATCGGTGCGAAGCTGTGCTTGCCCAGCGACCCTCTCAATGCAGTTAGAGAGCCATGCAGCTTTTCAATGCCTCGGGGCGAGAATTCACCAGCTGGACATTCACATCGTGGATGCCCCCCACAGTGTACACCTTCATGTCATGGTGAGCCGATAAAATGTTGTCCAGCCAAGCTCTGTGTGTGCGTGTGCCCACCTGTTGCCGCATTACAGAACAGAACAGTCGTATCCCATGCCAACCAACAATGCCTACTGCAATGGTGTTCCATGCTAGTCTTGCGGTCGATGTTTTGACAAGCACCGGACAAGTTACCAAACTCTGTCCTTTAAGGATTTTCTCAACGAAAGGGATTGACGAAGATGTTTGAAGATCCTCCCCTCCTTACTTTAAGCGTCAGAGCGTTTGGAAAGGTGCCACCTAGGCTTAGGCGTTGACCTCCATGGCCTTGGACTTCGCCACCTGTTACCTCATTCCAAAAACTGCATGCAAAACTATGAGGCTGAAGAAAACAGTCGCACATGGTCTTTGCTTCAAGAAAGCCTGGGTTGATCCAAACCCAACGGGTGCCGAAGCGAAAACACCGCCTGGGAGTTGCCCATTCTCTAAAAGCATTTCCACCTGAGTCCATGTTCCACTTCTCCACAACAAAAAGGCACCGCCGCGCTGCTGGGCAGGGACTGCAGGAGGAGCGCGACGACGCCAAAGGCACAGTCTTCTTCGGCTGCCTGGGATCGTCGCTCCCGAGCTCGGTGCATCAAACCTGCTGGGTGGATCAAACGGAACGCCCCAACTCCGGAAGGCACCAGATCCTTGGGGTGGAACAAGGCCCCCGGTCCAGTGCGTCATGCGTTTGGAGTGGGGAAGATCCGTCAAAAGCGGAGACTTGAAAGAACATGGCCCACAATTGATGTGGAGGCTGCTTGCTTGGGTGTTTAACGTTTAGATCGAACAACTCGCAATCATGCGCAATCTATTATTAATGTGATCAGCACTGGGAGAACTGTTAGTCTTTGTGCTTTGTGCTCAGCTCTGCAGCCCAGGTGATGCGGACTCTAATGTCTTAAGCTGTCCACTCTTGTGTCCGGCCCCGAGCGTATCGTGATTAGCGAATCCAATTCCCAGAGCAATCCATTCCATATAAAAAGTTCTCAAGCACCTCAAAATCACTAACGCTGACATAAGCTAACCACCCAGCTGGGTCCCAACTGAATCTCAGCCCAAGGCCAGGCCTCCAAGGAAGCTGAGCTCACATTCACCTGGCGTGCTCGAACATCGCTTCGCACAGTCAAACTCACTTCACATCGCTTCATTTGCAACTGACGTGAAGAAGCAAATTGTCATCCCAACCGTCAAATCCAACATGTTCCGAGAACAGCTCCTCTCATACTGATTAGTGAAGAGTTTTATTGGTCATACGGTGTTGACCACAGGCATCCAACTCATCGCACCCACAAACCGTCCGCGGCTGGCCTTTTGCCAAAGAGCCATCAAGTCGGGCCAACCCTTGTAGGACGTCCCCAGGGCCTGCGACAACCTCAGGGCAAACGTACGCCAACAAGGGGGGCGAAACCTCTTCCAACACGGAAGCGGATCATGCCACGATCGTTCAAGTATGCTTCCTCGTTTTGCTGTAATACTACCCCCTACATGAACTTGGTCAAGGACGCCTTGCTGCTTTAGATACGTTCGGTGAACATCCAAGCACGCATCAAAGGACTTGGATATACTATGTTTTTAAATGGAACCTCCCGGATCGGTTATTGCCGTGTGTGATAGACCTGGGATTGAGTGGCTGATGCGCCAGGAAGAAGTGGTCCCAGTCATCCTTTGTGACTCCAAAGGTCCCACGGCATTGGGCTTTCCGCGGCGAGGAGGCGACATCCTGAGGAGCCGAAGCACGGCGCAGAGTTTGCGAGTTTGGACCTCAAACTACCACGACTGGGAGCAATCTCCAATCAAAGTGGAAGGTGCCATGTCCACTTCCATGGTTGATATACAAAAGTGTATATATGTCCATATACTGTATATATATATATATGTATAGGGTAACTAGCTTAGAGAGGGCCATGTCTTTGAAAGGCACTCCTTCTGGGTTGCTAGATGCAAATTGCAGCAATGGATGTGAGTGGTATTTCTCCCATCCCTGGTGCCTGGGATGTTTGGAGCACCGGGTCAAGCACGTACGGGGTCCCGTCCCAAAAGAGTCTGATCGGAACCAGCTCGCCTCGTTGGTGCGGCAATCTTGTGGCAGTGCATTCACATTCTTGGTATCCAAGCAGCACACCTGCGAAGAAAAGACAAAGTTGGTGCAGGTAAGAGCGAGGTCTCTCTCTCTCTCTCTCTTGCTTGAAGACGGGGCCAAAGCACACGGAGACACACACACAAGGAAAAGACAAGCATTGGCCACGCACACACAAGCAAAAGAAGCGAAAGAAGGACGGTTTCTCCGGACGTGTCTTCCTTCTCTCTGGACCTCATAGGTGTAGATGGAATCAAAGCACTCCGGGTTGCCACCTGGGCATGAGCATCACGGCGCGTCGGTTTGCATCTGTCACTTGAGGACGGGTCTTTCTAAGGCATTGTGGTGGGGGAATGCAAGTTTGTAAGGCTATGTCCCAACAGCTTCCATGGACGGATCTACAGGACAACGCGCTTCCATGTCGATGACAAAGATCTGGAATGGAGGGAGACTGGGCGGAACCTGCAATTCGCCCACATGTCACAACCAATACCCAAACAGCTGCCTAGCAGATCCGAACAGCTCCCTTCATGTCACCCTTCACGATCTCACAGCACCCGCCCCACCGGCAGCGCAACAGGTCGTGAAGGAGAAGCCGCCGCGCCAGCAGGCAGCGTTGCCCGCCATGCCATGGCTTCAGTCGGTCAGGGTGACTGGGCGGAAGAAGAACATATGGACTGGAATCCTGGAAGAAGGAGAATTGATATAATGTGTATATATATATAACTATATACATGTATATGTTCGTGCGAGAGAAGGTGAACACTTCATCATGTCTAAAGCAAATTGTACAAAGACACACAGTGCAACCAAGCGACATCTTCAAAAAGCAATACTCAGGCATGCAGCATGCATGTAGAATTCGCGCAGTAACCGCCTGTATACTCCTACACATGGTGTTGGAACGCGAAGGGATTCCTTCAGGTAGCTTAAGGCACGGGAACTCCGGTTGGTTCACGTTCCTTCCAAAAGGATCGAGAAGACGCCCGGACCAGCGGACAAATCCGTCACTGGCGGCCTCAGCTCCAAAATCCGTCACTGGAAGTCCACGCTGTCAATTTGGCTTGGAAGCTAACAGCGTGGTGAATACACCAATGAACCACCATGAGTCACTGTCAAAACTTAAGAACAAATTCCCTGAAAGGACATTGGGTTTGGGTGAATAGACTAGATTAGACCCCTCAGTCCATCCTCAACACTCAACTCCACACTATCAGATTGCCTCAAGTGGAGTTTGGGATGCTCCCCATAAAACGCAAGTCCCAATTTCATTCCTCACGAGACAATGGCTCCTTGGCGAGTCTTGTGTTAGGATGATAAGGTGAATGCCTCTAGCCACTTCTAGACCTGGGGGAGGCTGAGCCCGGCATCGAAGCTCATCGTCCTGGGCAGTCTGAACTGGTCAACACCACATCTGAGCTCGGGTGGCCCACGGTCCTTGACTTTGCAGTCGATGTCATCCTCGTCCTGCGCCGCGAACGATCCTCAACGTGCGCCTGTTGCTTGGATTTAGTGGCCTACCCTTTGTGTATGAATATAGTTTATAAGGGGTTTAGCTCAGCTCAGCTGAGAAAAGGCTGTTGTCCGTGGCAAAGACCCTACCCTGCGTTCCACCGAACCACACCGGCTGAGCTGGGAAGACGGTACCGGAGGTCTGTGAGAGCACAATGCATGAACTGAACACCAATGGTGACCTCAAAACAGTTATAACCCTATCTCCCCCAAAAGTGGTTCTAGGCATGTATCCCAAAGGAAGGTACGTATTCAGGAAATTTATAACATATTATATAATATATATATAGGTATATTGTGTATATATATATGTATATCGTTTTGAAAGATCTAGTCATTCACCGAGACATCTCTAAGACTCGGTTGAGTTGTTTGCTTCACACGTTTTAGGGCAAACAGGAGGACATGTCTGCTCAGAGCATCCAATGCAGTTTGAGATACATCTGCTCAGGCTGTGGACAGGTCGAAGCCAGTACATGATGTGTACATCTTCGTCATGAGAGAATCTACGCACCGCCTTTTCCATCCCCCAAGTCTGCCTGTGTTTGTGGAGCAAAAGCTGGTGTGACTCAGAGATGGGAATCGTAGCAATCTCTGAATAGGGAGAATCACCATCTCCCCTTTTGATCTGGAATCTGGAATAGATTTTAGATGATTTTAGGGTTGCAGCACTCTCTCTATTCTCAATGAGATTGCCGCCCAATGGGTTGGTGATCGTTCACCATCTGAAAAGGTTCCCGCATGTGGGTCCTCTGTCCGGGTGGGGTGCGCGGTTACACCTTGACCCACAAGAAAACATAGGGCCGATTTCAGTTGATGACGATTCATGTGTGATGTCCGAAAGACATGGGAATAAATGGCCTTGGGTGCCTGATTTCACAATACGCACTGCGCATGGCTCCTGAGCTGTAGGCTGTTTGGGCTTCGACCGTTCGTCAGCCAGGCCTTTCCTTAAGCCATGGAGAGCCATGGTTTCAGAAGCTTCTACAGCGACTGGTTGGGAACATGCTTGCATTGAGGATTGCCTCACTGTTTTTTATGTTCTGTACTGGCTAAATCTGTAAAAAAAAACTATGTGTATGATTGTGTATGTATCTTATTTGTAATTATGCATTTGTCATGTTATTAATTTCACCTAAATTCAACGAAATTCTGTAGCGATGACTATGACATTTATGATCTCAACAACAGGCAACCCTCGAGTGTTGTTCGGGGCATGTTTGTGATGTTTTTTCCCATAATTACCCCCTTTGCTGCCCTTTTGCTACTATAGCCACTGTTCACAGCGGGTTAGACAACTAAGTTGGGTGTTCCAGGTGAACTGTCTTGATGAAGGGAAGGGACACCCCCCCTGGCTGTAAAGCTTTGTGAACCGTCACATCCTCCAGCCAACTTAATTAAAGCCCCGGGAGCAGGGTGTCCTTGACGGATCAAGAAGCTGGGGTGTCTTGTGAAACCGAATGGGCCTCTTGATGACTCTTGTACACCATAATGATAAGGATCATTATACCTATTGCGTGTACATTCCTGTACCAAAGGTTGCGTGTTGCTTGAAACCCGAAAAGTGCCGGGTCCACGCGACAGCACATGGGATTGGAGAACCTGAGTTTTGCCTTCCCGGCAGTGCGGGGGCCGCAGTCCTTGCATCCAGAAAAGGGACTGGATCGGAACGTGCAATGCGCCAACAAGACAAGGTGTGCCCTGAGAAAGGCTCTTGTGGTCTAGGGCGCCAAGTAGCCAGGTCGTTCAAATCCAGCATGCATAGCGGCTCAAGGCAACCCGAGCATCTTCAAAAGACTCCAGCTCAGTAGCATCACACCCCATAGTGTCCACATCTATGAATTCAGGTGAGTTCACATCCCACGACAGGTGTTTCATCGCTGCAACCGCTGACCATTGTTTGGTGGTCAGGTGCTTCCCATGCCTCAGGACTGCCGGTGTTCTATCAGGATGCCCAAGTGAAAGCCAATCTAGTAGCACTACCTGCAAAGAGATAGCAAGCGCTTCTGTAGCAGACCTCAACGACTTAGAGTATGGAATCGGCATGACGGCCACACGTACTGAAGATATCTGTGGTGGAGGCTGTCTCACCCGTCTCAGACTCCTTTATTCTGGAGCTGCCAGATCGCTCGAAAAACTGTTCCTTGGCTGCGACTTTGCTACCAGCCAGGACTTTGGATGCGGCGTCCATGAACAATGACAACACTTCGTCCATGTTGCTGACCACACGATCTGCCCCGCAAATGCAAAGTCTCTGTTTGACGAGAAGGAACTGTCACCTTCTCTCTGACAAAATCCAAGAGGGCTCCACTTGGCCCAAAACGAAGCTGCAGGTGGTTGATGATGGTTAGTTGCCTGGCTGCTTGCTTGGTTCGCTTGGTGATTCCCTTGCTCTGGGTCGCGTTGGATGACTCCTCCATTTTACTAAAGGATTCATAACCCAATAGCGATGGCCTCCACCCTCCACCCTACTAGCGATGGCCTCCAACCTTATCGTGCAAAGGGTTCATACCAATTCCCCACACCCTCTCGGCCGAGGCACTTCAGCGCCTTCTGGGCCCAGCCGCGGTCCTGCTGATCCAGCGCCTGCCGTCGGACAGTTTGGTCGGCCGGGCCGGGATTCATTGTGTTGAAAGCCTACAAACAGCATACAAATGCCACATTCGAACAGGTGGGAACTCTTTGGGGAAGTGTTGACAGAGTTCAGAGGGTCAGTCCAAACCTTATCTGGCGGGGCTGTCAGTAAAAAATCAAAACTAAAAGAACTTGCTTGGGATCAGCATGATTGGAATGAGGCTCAAAAATTAACACCTGGCGGGTCCCGCAGGTGTTGTTCCATGTCTCTTCTAGGCGCATCTACTCCAATCATCTCTCTCTCTCTCTCTCTCTCTCACGTCTAAACCCAGCAATGGAGTGGCCCTCGCTTCCCAGACCAACCCAAATCTGGGTCATGTGGTTCTGGGTAGTGGCACCTTCCATGCCTTGATAACAATTTTGGCTGAAAAGGAGTGATGGCATGAATGCCCCAAACCGAGGGGTCATCAATTGAGAGGCATTCCTTGCAAAGTGACACTTTTTACGGTAATATGTTTCCTATTGGTGGTGTTATTGTAGTGGTGGTGGTGGTAGTAGTAGTAGTCGTAGTGGTAGTGGTAGTGGTAGTGGTAGTAGTGGTAGTAGTAGTAGTAGTAGTGGTAGTAGTAGTTGTTGTTGCTGTTGCTGTTGTCGTGGCAGTCGTGGTGTCAGGTTTTCCGCGACACCGCCGCACCAATCGGCCTTCTGTTGCCGTTTCAGCTTCACGAGTTCTTTCCTCAACAGCGTCATCAGCGGTATGTCGCACTACGGGCACTCCGGAACTGCAGCGAATATGAAACAGACATAGAAAAGATCATGCACCACTTGGTACCCACAGCACAGAGTTGTAAGTGAATATAGTGGTTCTCCCAATCCCAGGTGGTGCAGGATGTCTTCCTTTAATAGTACAGCCGTATCGTAAGTGAGAGCACAGTGCGCGGTGCAGGAGAACTTGACAACTGGACTCCAGCACCACATTAGATACTATGCAACATCCAACCACCCTTGAAACTTTGTGCACCGCAGCAAGAGTCTTACACTCGCTCGAACTAGCCATAGCAAATCATGCCCTTGACCGGTTGTTGCTTGTCGATCTGGTTTGCCTGCACTGCAACTGTTCTATGTCTTTTGTGCAGCTTCATTCAGGGCATGTGGCATTCTCAAGCCACAACACTAGACTCTTTACAAGCTCACTTTGGTTGACAGGTCCCTGGAACATCCTCCTGAAAACTAGTCATGGAACCGGAACCCCCAATCCACTGGTTGGCCCAAATCGCGCGCTTACTAAGTGCTTGCCATGCTTTTCCATTGAGTAACGCACCTCAACAGAACAAGATCTTGAAGATTGCAAATGGTTTTACATTAGAACCGTCTTGGAATCCCCTGGCATCTATCCCTCAAGCTCCATGTAAACAAACATGGTCTACATCAGATTTGGGTGGTTGGGGTGGTGGTTGATCAGATCCTTTGAGTGGTGAATCTATGTGAATCTGCTGCATTTCATTGATGAAAACAACTGGTAAAAGTCGGTGGAAGCCACAGAACGTACCATCTCTTGGGCCAAGGAGCTCCACATCATCAGCAATGGAGGCATCCAGGTCCCGCGCTTTCTGCAAGTCCTGGGAGGGCGACGTTCGGGGTTGCCCTCCAAAATGAGAAAACGGACTCCCCCTTATAAAGGTATTGGAAATCAGTTCTACATACCTACTTCTACGTTCTTTGGAAACTTTTAATCTTCCTTCCCTAGGTTTTTCCAAGTTGGCAATTGCCCCTTTAAGGCTTCACGCTTTCTTTATTAATTCTGATATGTTGCACTTGCGCCTTCGAGGCCAAGTCTTCCCGACTACGGATTTTGAACCTGCACCATCAGGGATTGCAGGGTTCCGGGAAAATCCTGGTATAGCTGCGCACCCCTGTAACTTTGAAGATTGAACAAACGCTTTGTGCCTTGCTGATCTCCATACCCGTTGAGCGGCTCACCGCCGGCCGGGCAAGGGAAGAGCGTGACTCTGCTTGACCTTTCCAGACAGAAAAAAGAATAAAAGCTCATCACGTATCACTGATCCAAGAACATCTAAAAACTACACTGCACCAAACTTAAGTTTTGTCACTGACATACTTTCATTCAGTCTCTCTCTCAGCACAATTTAAAAAACATGCTATGTCGCCAGTGTGACCTCCCAGTATTGGGGCTGACGAGTTTCTTCATCGAAAACCCATCTGACTCGGTCCGACCCAAGAGTTTCAGTCGAAAACCCGTGATCCGACGGAACAACCTGAGAAGGTACTTGGACACACCAATCACCTAGGCCCGTCATGTCATCCCTAAATATTTCAAGAAATTACCTTAGAAGGTGGCAGTCAATTTCCCTCATCGCGATCTACAACTGGGACTGCGGAGAACGTCCTTCTTGGCATCCTCCAAGCTGCCCAACTGAATTTGGCACCTGATGGAATTTAGGCAAGCCATAAAGGTGTCTGGAATTTGTTCAGGTGAATTGCAAAGGTCCAGCAAAAGGTGAATAGATAGATGCATGATGATCCATGATGAAAGACCCTGCTCAAAATCAATGTCCTGCTTCCAACCCCCAGCTGCTTATATAATAGTGGAGCACACAAGGTAGTTTGTGGGTGATTTAGGTGTGAGGAAGCAACATCTGGAGGCGTGGAAAAAAGAAACATCCCCTCCAAGTCTTGTGACTTGTGTCCACCCATTGTTGCAAACACAAAGCACTAGCAGGATCTAGCAGGTACGTACTGACCGCCATGGTGTAAATGCAGATCCCAGAATACATTGGACCACCAATTTCTTCCGGACTCCCAACAAAATGAGCACGGAGATGATCACTCATCCCTTGACAAACTGGTGAAGTTGTCCTGCAACAGGTTTGTTTCTGAACTGTTTGCCGTTTAGACTAATGATGGTGGGGTGGCGCCAGAGTATTCCATGCATTGCAGGACCACTGTCGAACCCCATGTTCTCGCCGCTGCACGCGTCGAGAAGTAGCCTGCAACATACAGAAGTGCTTCGTTGGCGGCCTGGCCCCTCCTTCCGCACGGGTGTAGATGTACCACTGGCCGCGGTAGTGCCACACCCAGAACCCGCCGTCGTAATAACATCTACCAAACATCAGGGCGAAATGCATCTTGTTGATGGCTCTCGTCGTGTACACGCAGTCAGAGCTGATTGCGCTCACCTTTCATATCCCTTTGCCTTTCACGCCTCCTCCACCGGCGCCTGCGAGAAGCCAAAATGAAGAGCCTTCCAAAGGGACATCCAAAAGAAGAAGAAGCTTCAGAAGCTCCAAGGTCCAAGACTCGTACACCGATTTCGAGGCTTCAAAACTTCAAAAGTTCACGAAGAAAGACGAGCCAAAGCGTTCATCGATCGTGGCCTGGCCCGACGGGCGATGTCCGAGACATCGCGTCGACGGGCGCCCGTGTGGAACCTCCGCGCCCGCGCCTTCCTTTCTTCTGATAGCGGGTCTCAGACCGAAAGTACTCGGCGTTGAACCAGCAAGTCAAATGCTAAATCAACGCTTGCAGGTGACCTTTCACTTCCCAGTGTTGCCTCATCACAACGAATAAAAACACGACCGGTCTCGCCCTCTTGTCTTGCTTGTCTCACCGCTACTTTGGTGTCCGCGGAACAGTTATAGCTACCGTGCTTGAAAAGCTGTAGCTGCCCTTCATTGCTAAGGTGCTAAGGGTGTTCACTGCTCTTCTATTGTGAGCTTTACGCCCCGGCTCTCTTGTAAGGTCGGCTGGTGTGCCCGTTGAAGGAAGGGCAAAGCCAGATTTCCGTGGACGTATATATTGAAATACGGGCTCCTCTATTGTGATCTTCGCCACCCCTGGATTAAAGCTCGTGAGTCCTTAGTGGAAGGCGTTTATAATTGAATGACAACATGGATGAGAATGAGAACCTTCACCTTTTAACCGATCTCCAGCTCCATACTGTATGTTTCTGGTTTAAGTGCAGTGTACAAACCAACAAACTGACTAAGGAGAAACCTACAAGCCATGCTGCCCCTGCGCTCTTCCGGTCCGTTCACCCTTCGAGCGCCCACGCTGGCCCCGGCGGAAGAGCGCCTTCACCTGGGACCGGGTCCGGCGCTGAGCAAAACCTCCAAAAATATGTTACTAGTAGTAAGGCCAGGAGCCCCTAGTAGCGTCCTTGCTTCTAAAGGACGCCCTTGTTACTAGTAGCTTCTTGCTACTAGTAGCGATGCACTTGTTCCTAGTAGCGATGCCCTTGTTGCTAGTAGCTTCTATTCTAAGGTTTTATGGTCTTAATTTTTTGTTTCATGTTAACTTCAGTTTATGTCTATCGAATCTTCTATAGCTGGATTGAAGCACTGCCTCCGAAATACAAAACCTGCCAAAGGTCGTAAAGGACTAGCAACTATAGTTCAGAAACCCCACTACTGAATGAGATGGCAGGAAACGGAGGACTTCCAAAAGCTCAAAAGATCTGTCGGCGCCAAAGTGCTTGCTCAAAGGTGAAAAATCAATAGTTTAGACCCAAAAATTGTTGCACCCCCTTTCTGGAAGGCAAGTGCTTTAGGGTTCATTCTTGCGGGCAGAAAAATGACACTCTCTCTCTCTCTCTCTGATCTCTCTCTCCTCTGAAAAAAATGCTCTTTGTAGCTCAAAAACCCATCCGTAATATTCCGTAATTCTCCGTACCCTCTAGCCAGCGGTTGCACAACGTCCACAAAAGTGTACGGTTGGCTGTGGGTAGTTGCTGGGGTGTCAGTTCCAATGGATCCCACCAAAAAACATCCCACCTCGTGATGATCTCGACTTCCGTGACTCTCCGTGGCAGTGAAAACGCCAAAACATCCAAGGACCTTCCAAACATCTTTCTCCACCTCAGGTAGACCGGTAGACCCCACTAAGCAAAAAAACTATTCTTCCAAGATTCCAAAGATCGTCATAGAAAAAAAATAACAAAGAACTGCTGCAGCACCTCCGCAGCATATGTAAGTCTTTGTCGACGTCCAAGGTACGCAAGAGCTGTCGATGTCCAAGATCACCTCCGCACACTTGCGTTCCGCTTCGGACCAGCGCTTCCTGCGGTGTGTTTGCAGGTCGATGCCCGTGTTGGGACATCGAATTTCTGTGTTGGCGTTGGAGCACAGAATCATGGGATATCATCGGATACTTTGGAGACTCCTAGGCAAAAAGTTGGCCAGCAGCTCACGTCTCAGTCATCTTTCTCTCCGGGCGCAAAATGCACTGGATGTCAACAAATATTAGAGACCATCAAATTGTATCAGATACTGTATGTCAACTTAAAAGGTATTATATATACTAGTCTATGTGGTTTCATTATTGAAGGGAAATGGTTGTTTTGACAGTGATCTTGTTGGGGTGTGTGTTTTCTCTCGCTTTCTCTTTTTGGTCATGCTGGGATGCTTTGCTCATGCTTTCGTCTCGCAGAACCACTGGCAGTATCGTGTCCTCAGTCCTGCGCATGAGCACCAGCGCCCAGTTCAAAAGGATTGGCTTTTGACCTTGCGCGTGATGTTTGTTTGCCCAGGTGACCAGCACACCCGTGGTGTCGCGTGGTGTGGCTTGTTGTCGTCGGTTTCATGTCGCGTCACAGTGCCAAAGGAATCGCGTCCACTGCGGGACTCAAACCGGACATGACACCCCTCACCCCTCCGTTCGATTCAACGTCTCCAATAGAGTGCATGTGTTTGTATGTAGTTGTGGACGTGCTTTAGCTCCGCTCCTAAGACCCTGTTCTGCGGAGGCGGTGTTTCTTCGCAGGGTGGTGGGCTGTAATTACAAAGAAATGACAGGGGATCACATGTAGGGATAGGCATGTCAATTGTAATTATTGCCCAGAAAAACTCCCGCAGTTTGAAAGTGATGTTCCGAAGGAATGCCAATCAATGACTGCTTTCGGTGATCTCTCCAAATGGCAGGCCAGTAGGAAGCTGCATACAACTATGATAACAAGTCAGTTCTGGTTGAAACATTTGACAGTCTTATACCGAGTTGCAGTCAATCGCTTCAAGCATCATTGTGTGATTTCCACTTTGGTATGCTCAGCGGCTTTTGTGACTCTTTCAAGCCTTGGTCTTGCCTGTGTCTGTCATCACTTTTCTAAGCTGGGCTCGGTTTGGACTTGTTCGTACTGACTTCATGTACCCCATGTTCCTCGGAAGTGATTCTCGGAAGAGTCTGCAAAGATGTTGCATGCAAGAGTCTGTCCTTAAGGAGATTTCGCACTGACACTGTGACTCTCTTTTAAACCACCAACCCATGCACGAATCACTCAACAAAACCGGCACTAACGCATACTGAGCACATGCCACGCATGCCACGCATGCCACGCATGCTCTCCTCAAATTATCTGGGGGATCCCAACACTCGCGAATGCGCCGGTTGTTGGCCACCGCCTTGGCATCCTTCTTTCCACCTGGTGGGAACAGCGGTCCAGTCGATCCAAAGATCCGTTCGCCGCTCCAAACCGGTCGCGAATGAGCATCTGAAAGCTGTTCCTATTCCCGGACGATATATAAAGACTAAGATCCACTTGAAACTGTGCAAGTCGGAAACAAAGTGTCTTCCAAAGCACAAAGTTTGCTTCTGAGGGCAAACATCAATGGATTAATTCAGTTGCATTGTGTGTAAACACTGGTGTTGACGCAAACACTCCGAAAAGTAACACATCGGCATGGCCGGCATAGCCCTTACAAAGACTCTTTCGCTGCAAGCACAGCAACAAATACAGCAGACAATGTCCTAATATGTCCTACATAGAAAGAAATTAAAACTACAACAAGTGGTCACTCGGAATCTTTCCCCTTCCTCGGAAGACTTTCATATTTCGTTCCCAGAACTTCTGATCCTGAATTCCTTTCTTCCTGCACAACCTGCATTGAACCTTCTGGCTGTCAAGCTGTGGGACTGGGTCGGCTGGGGTCCAAGATTCGTTCAGCACCCATCCGCATCCATCGGGTCCACATGCGCCTGTAAACTGTAATCCTTTCCGAAACTCTTCTTGAGTGGTTTAGGTTCTTGCGGCAAGAACCAAGGAGAAAAATGGATGGTGAGACCAATCTTGGCGCAACAAAAACCGGCATCACCGGCGTTCCGATTCTGGCGCATCCAAGATCGCCTGGCATTCCCATGTCTTCAGCTTCAATGACCTTGGTCCCCCAAAGAAGACGTGTCAGCAGGCAGTTTTCCAACAGAAGTGGACAATGGCCCCTACTTCCCTCCACAGACAGGCAGTGTTCCATTTCTGTGCTTGGAGGTAAGGGTAGTTCTCATCATCTATGCATCCGAAACTAGGGTCCAGAAACTTCTTGGTTTTTTGGAAACTCGTACGTTGGGTTCGGAAACTAATTAGCAACGTGCTCTTCATGCCATTGTTAAGTTCACATGACTGTCACGTCAATACCCCCCACCATCCCCCACCGCCTCCCCACCCACCCCACAAAACAATAGTGTCTGCACTCCACAAAAATAGTTTCTGAACCCAGGCAACCATAATTTTTGAACCCAAGAAGATTCTGAACCCTAGTTTCGGAACCATAGTTTCTGAGCCCGATAATTAGTTTCTGAACTGTTTTTCTCTAGTTCATGGAAGTGTTCAAAACAACGGACAGCATAGATGTTCTTGGCCCAACCTACATAGTATGATCCACAGTTGGCATACAATTGTCCTGCTACAATTGTATGCCAAGATCAGGGCAACATGGGAACCCATATCAAACATGGTTCAAATTAGACATGTAAAAAATCAATGTCCCGTTTGCACTTGCCTAGGGTATTGAACACGTGATGCCTAGGCATGTGATTGAACACCGTAGCATTTGCGGCTGCAAAGCCCTGAAGAGTCCCAAGGGGGACGAAAATTAGGCATTTAGTGCTTGTTACTAGTAGTTTCTTGTTCCTAGTTGTAAGGCTTAGTAAGGCACCTTGTTACTAGTAGCGTCCTTGCAAATTACTAGTAGTAAAGTAAGGCACCTTGTTACTAGTAGCGTCCTTGTTCCTAGTAGCAAAGCACCTTGTTACCAGTAGCGTTGTTGTTCCTAGTAGCAAGGCACCGTGTTACTAGTAGAAAGCTGTTATGGGGGAGAAAGCGACCTATCTCGACGTTAGTAGTTCTTGGTCATGGTTCATGGCTTTCTTAACATCTCACTGCCTGAGGTTGGGAAAACGAACATTGAAACTGTACATCATATGCTTATCTTCTAGATATTGACACAAAACCATACAAACCTGCAAATGCCTGGATGTTCCTTGTGTCAGGCAATCATTTGCCCTTTGTTTGTCAACATATCATGTCTCACCTCTGCCACCAAAACTTGCTACGAGCATGGTGGCTAAGTCACATCAATCGGATTATGTCACATCATCCCAATGGTACGGCCTGAAACGTCGGAAGTCACATCAGGGGCCCGAAACTCACATCAGAAAATGTACTTCTGCATGGCACAGCCGCAAACAGCTACTATGAGGAGTTTTGTATGAACAACAGCAAACATTGCGCACAATAGTACATTCTGACACATTCTGACTTGTTCGAATGAAAATCACATTGGCACGGCCAGTATTGGACCTTTCTACATCCTGTTTGGAAAAACATACCCCTAGTAACACAAGCACAAGAAGATGCTCATGACTTTTCCTATGTTAGGATCTAAAACCCAATGGCACACGGCCAGCAGACAACAACTTATCTTACTATGTCAACAGTCAAACCTGGTGGCAGACCCTGAAGCTGCCCCACCATTTCCTGTTCTCCTATGCCTTCTGCGCATCCAAGCGCATGCTTTTCTTCTCTCTGTTTCCGGCTCACTTCTGCGCAGGCTTCGCCATAAACTGGGATATTCTCTGTTTCCCCCAACAGGTCAACCAGTCTAGGCGCTTCTTGCGGCTGCTAGTGATATCATCGAAATGTTGAGCCAAGGTTGCCTTCGGCACACGTTTCTTGAGGGATTCAATGTAAAAAGCTGCTATCTTACTGAACTGGGGAATGGTGATTCCACACTTCACCAGATCACTATGTGGAAATAGTTCCGCCAGAATCTCAACACAATGGCTGGCATTGTTCAGGTCCCACTCATCTTCATCTTCCTCAGCCTCAGGCGCAGGAGCAGCTGCTGGCACCGGACTTGCCGGAGCTGCCACAGAAGCCGAGCTTGATTTTGGCTTCTTGGTCTCTCCTGGCAACACAGCAATGCAAAACAAATTGCCACGTTACCCTGAAAAGGGAATTTGGTCAGATAAGTGAATTTGGGCTACTTTGGAACAGGTGAGTTTTCGCGCAAAACTGTACAGAATTTCGAAAGCCTGCAGCATCTTGCTCAGCTTTGCGCTTCCGTCCACGCATCTCGCCTAGGAGGTCGCCCATGAAGCATAGCGCTCCATCTCGTAAGTCTCAGCAAACTCAGCCAATGCACTCTCAAGGTCAAACAAATCTGTCTGCTTGCTGTACCCCTTGGCTTTGCCACCCTGCTTCACTGCTGCGGCTGCTGTTGAGAAATTCTCGTTCGTCCCCACAGTATCCACACCTTGGTACGTGAGCAGGAGTCTGCTTCTGGCAGCGTGAGCAGGTCACCGATGTTGAAGGAGCCGAGTACGGTATCTTGAGCACGGCTTGACCAGATTTAGACTCCAGCGCGACTTCCTCTTTCTTCACAAAGCACTTGATGAGCTGAGGGGCACGGTCTACCAACAGCTTGTTGCGATTGAGAGCTGATAAATGCTTCATGCCAACTGTCTCGTAGCCTTGAACGATGAAATCTGCCTTGCACGACCATTCCCATACCTGAGCCGTAACAGAGAACAGGGCAAGGATAACGATTTTAGGGACACATTTTCAACTCCCCAATTCTGCCACAACATGTTGAACCAAGGAACTTCTCGGGCAGCGCGCAACGCGCCCAGGCCATTCATGTCGAACCCTGATGCGCGCAGGGCATGAAACTTGGACTCGGCCTCCTTGTTCGGTCTCAGGTCTAAGCTGCACACAGCAGCGGTCATATACTACCTGAAGAAGAAGCACCTGATATTGAACAGGTCTGCGATCAAGGAAGCTTCGGCTGAGATGTGGAGTTGCGCACCTCCGCCGCTGTCCAAGCACAAAAGCACGGGTAAGCTTTTGTCTATCTTCAAGTGCTCCCGGACATGTCGCCCAAACAGTCCCAGCACTTGGGCGAACCAGGGTGTGGTGATGGAGCCGTTCGCTGTGGCTATGATGTTTGCCCCAGGCCATACTTCGTGCCATGCTTTCATGCGACTTGCGCCGTTTGTGGAAACAAATGGCGGAGCAACATCGCCAAGCAAAGATACGAACGGTGCCAAAGTGATGTGGCCAAAAGAAGCTTCCGTGTGGCTCCTCATTGCGCCCACCTGCCGGGCTGTCACAGCACGCTGGTTTTTCACATGAGATCCGCAATCTCCACTCAAACCCTTTTCATCCATAGTCCAAACGCAACGTCCAGCTTCCTCCTTTAAGCACTTAGTTTCGCAATCCATGAGCTTCAGGTCAAGAAGCAGGGCCTCCAAAGCATCGAAGTGGTCGTTGATTGTTTGCAGCGTGATGGACGCCGCTTCCTCATTGCTCTTGTAGTACGTCTTGGCATTGATCAAAGACATGTGTTCACTGTAGCGCTCTTTCACCCATGACCGCCAATCTTTGTACACATTGCCAGGGAAGGCAAATACTTTTGGAAGTCTTTCCATGGGAGGTCTTCATTGGAAAGTCTCTTCATATCTAGGATTCCCTGGTTGTACAAGAACAAGCGGAACATTGCTTGCTTGATTTCCTTTGGGAACAAAGCTTTGTTGGAGGCTGCCATGGCACTTGTGTGGCGCAAAATATCTTTCTTCTGGGGCACTGTCAAGAAGCCTGTCCCATGCCGGCCTGCTGCAAATTGCTTGGGGCACCAAGGGGCGGAGCTACTATCTTGCTCAGCTAGCCAAGTCTTGACTTTGGCCAACTTCAACCTGTTGATGCGGTACTCTTTCAAAGCCTGCTCAGCTTTGATTTAGGAGCCTGAGAACAAACAGTGCTCCAACAAAGCAAGCACATCCAAGTACATCTCGTGGAATTCCTGCGATGACGGAGGAAAAAGGACGAGCTAGGCTGGTCTCCCATCTCCTTCTGCAACCACCTCCATCTTTTGTGGAACTCTTTGAGGGACTGTACAGTCTGGTGTCATACTGCGGCTGTGGACCCGACAGGTCCGGCAATCTCTTGCTCGGCCCCTTGCATTTCTCTCCAGACTTGGGACTAACTGGCGTCTGCTGCTTTGGCTTTGGAGGTGGAGTGGTCAGATCTGCTTCAGGTGAACGCATCAGGATCTTTTTGGAAGAGCCTGGTTCGGGAATGGTCCGATTCTTCTCTGCCATTGGAGTGGCTGGATCTGCTTCAAACGGCTGCTGCTCACTGTTGTTGCTGCAGCTGACATCTGCTCCACCTTCAGGGGAGATGGTGCAGCCTGCATGCACAGGGGGGTTCACCGCCACCCGCAAGGAAGCGCTTTGGTGCGATAAACATAGCTATTCCCGTCGGATCCAACACGGCACTGTCAGAGCTGTCAAACCTGCAATCTGTCAGTGAGCACTGTGCAAAGCCTTGCCTTTTCTCAAGTGCTCACCCCATGTCACTACCGTACCTCAGAACCACCCCGCTGTACAAGGATCTGACGCACATAGTTTCAGCAGCTAGTTGCTGCGCACTGTGGCCTCAGCAGCCATTTTGGCTTTCAAGGCTCGAGCCTTCCTGTTTTCTTTGCGACGAACAGCTGCACTCTGCTTACAAATCCGCCCTGCCCCGTCTCGCCGCCAAGCTACTTCAGATGGCGGACGGGAACAACAACGGCAAACAACATGTGCGGCTTTGAGCCTCACACCGCCAGGATTCCTGTTGTGATCTATTGGCGGGTGAGGTGGTACCTCAGAGGACAAAGGAGGAAGAAACCCAGCGCGAACAGCTGCGCTCTTTGTTCTCACCACGGTCATGCCTGCACTGCGGCATGCCTTGCGCAAGTCTTTCCGGATCTGGTTCCATTTCGCAGCGGCAGTCTTCTGCTTGGACTTGCACCAGACCATGGCCAAACGAACAAGAAGCTACGGAGGCCCCCTACGGCTGAAGCTGGAAAGAAAGGCAACAGAACACAAAGAAACTCAGGCAGATGTAGCTCAAGAAAAATTGGACACAGTTTACATTGGCAAGCGAGTCCTTGATGAGAGTGATCTTCCACTTCCACATGCTTCGGGTCGTTCTCCTGCATTTACATACAGGAAATCTTGACAAACGCCCATTTGAGTTGGAAACTTTGAAAAAATGTGCACCCTACTCAGGAAGCCCTGTCCTTGAGCTTCGTGACAAATTTGCTAAGGCAGCTGTGAAAAAGCCACTTGTTCTTCCAACTTAGTGCACAGGAGAAACATGCAAACGGTGTTGCTGCAACAGCTGTTGCTGTCGAGATTGTCCTTGCCAAAAACCCTAGCTGACACAAATTTCCTGCACTCAAGCGACAATCCTGCAACATGATTACTGGGCCGTGTCCGAAAATCTGCAGTGAAGCCATCTCGCACCTGAAATGTTCCAGTGAAAGAGCAGCCGTTGGCAGTAAATCAACCGCTCACACATCAGGATTCAACATTCAGCAAGGCTGCCCTGCGACAAAGTCACACAGAATACTGTTCAGACGCCCCACTTAGAGCACCAGGTTGGAGTCATTCATTTCAGCACCACCTTGCTCCAACTCAAATGGATGAAGGCCCTAGCACGAAATTGTCTTCCGAAACAAAGTCAACTGCAATTACAACAACATCCAATGGCTTCGCCAGCCAAGACACAGCTGCGTACCAAGCATTCGGTCGGCACTCCAGGACTCCAGGAGGATGCTTCGCCATAAGTGGAAACAAAAACGTCACAAAGGCCTAAAACCGGCAAATATTTGTGTATATACACGAAAGTGAAGCCGAACTTGCAAGGAACACCATTGTGTGCAGTCAACTAATCTAAACAAATCCCTTGAACAATATTGCTGAACATGTTAGCACTGGAACGCAAAATGCACCAGCATCCCTACTATAGAGTAAATGGCAACGGATGCAAGACCGTCAGATTCAATCATAGAAAACTGCAACTTTTACCTAGCGCACACCCAAAAAAAAAAAACATATAGGTTTTAAAAAGTCCGAATCTTGCAAATCGCAAATCTCAACTCTTGCCTAGCGCAGCCTCCCGATACGACTTTCCAGGGGTTGATACGACTTAAGCCGACCACTAGTACTACAGATCATGTTTGCTTATAATCACTTGCTTACAATTGTGGCTCTGGTTGCTTTATATGTGGATAGGCATCTGTAGCCCAGCACTGCCCCCACTAAAGAGTACCACAATCTACGGAACAACGAAATTGTACCCTAAAAACGTGCCCACATCAGTCCAAACCAAGAGTAGAGAATAAATATCCAAATGAAATCATTTGCCAGTACAAGATGCCCTGAAGGCTGCAAAGCTCGATCCACCATGTTTTCTTTCAAAAGAAGGGAAACTTGTTCGAGCGCTTCTGTCCAAACGGCATCCATGAAGCTGGAGCCACGCTCGTAGTAGTCACCCGCGCGCAAAAGGCGTCCTGCCCGGCAGGGACTCCGTTTGATTGCCGCCGCCACCGCCACCACCCAAACCAAAATGAACAGAGTCCTTGAGGGTTTTTGGTCGGGAGCCTGGAAGGTTTCTTACCCCGAAAGTTTGCTTGTAGATGTCCGACCAAACTCAACTAAAGACCCTCGGCGCACAATGCGCTCGGACCTGCCTAGAACACCCTGCGGGTCGGGCGACAACTTCACGGGGTCCTGAGGTGGAAGCCAATGGAAAATGGCCAAAACGATTGTATATATATATATATCTGCATCTAGCCACCACCCATGGATGTTGGTATTGATGATATAAGACTAGCTTAGACTGGTATGGAGCTTTGCGGCAAATACAGATATATAGTACTCCGTTCCATCTGGAATGAGTTCAAATAGGTATATAGACGAAAGTATGACCCACCCCCAGCAAACCACAACAAACCATCATAAGAACACAGCAAACCGCAAAAAAATGTGTCTCCTTGTTTCAGCATTTGGTTGCCACGCTCGCCTCAAGGCATCATCATTCGTTGGCATGAATCCGGTCTTGGTAGCCAATGGAGGGAACAATCCCAGTAGCGAATAATATGTTAGCCAACACAGTGTTTGGCTACCCCACCTTTAACACGATCCTGTATTCATAATGTGAATGGAATATCTCTGCTGTTTACCCAAATGCATCGTTTTCAATGATTGTCGCTCATGAGAATTTGACCGTCCGGAATGGCCATGACTGCTGCTAAACATCTGCCGCACATGTTGTTCATTGTTGTTCGACAATAAGTGTCTCAACCACAACCGCAGGAGCAGCCGAGTTATTGAAAAAGGTGGGAGCAGTCTTCAAGCCTCAGAAAACACAGAAAACAATGCCTCAAAATGAGGGATCTGCCATCCAATCCCTTCTTAATTGAAACAACATGGATCATTTCATGTAATGTCCAGTTTATTTGCAACACTGCGAGTCAGTAGGTTTGTTCACCCATTGTGATCTTGTGGAGAACATGATTCTTGCCATGAAGGCGAGCTGTGACCAAAAATAGAAAACGAAGCCCGCGTCACACTTCCCACATATCATCTGCATCAACTATCTTTATCGTCCCCAGCCGGTGCCTTTCTATGCTGATCAAGCTACGCAGCCGGTCCGCGGCAGCAATGCGTTCGTCCACGCTCAAGCGGAACCTGCTGCGCCCGATCACCCCCGACGAGCTCTCGCACGGAGGTGAAGGCACAAGCAACCTCGATCAACAACTATTCTTTGAACAACTAATTCGTTGTCAACAACATTGACAACACCTTTTTTTGCACTTCGAACCGCCGTCGGACGAGCCGGTAGCCTACTTGCACCTGATTGCAGGGGTAGTCCGGCCCAAGTTGGCTGGTTTCATGGTTTCCGGCATTGGGATACAGAGCGCTTCCACCAACACATTCGGCTGCTTCAAACATCTCAGCATTAGCTTGTTTGTCCTCAGCCATGCCGGAAACAGGTCACTAATCTCGTCTGGATGCAGGGAAGCACTCATTGTAGCTTGTTGCAGTTTGCCAAGACTTTTTTCAATCCGTTACGCACAAGTCACGCTCGAATATGCTTCATCCCCCAGGCGCACCATTGTTGTTGTCGCTGCTGCTCGTGTGTTTCAAAAGCCGCATTGCAGGAGCCAGTTCAAAACGTTCGGTTTGGGTCGGTGGAACAGGCAAAGCCGATTTGGGGGATTTGGCGAACTCCTGCACACAAGGTCGTAAATGGATTGCGGTGTATTGTATTTGCTGGGATCTGCTTGCATTACCTGTAAGATATTGTCTTGAATCTCTGTGAGGAGACTCTACAAGCATTGTTGCAATTCCTGTTTCATCTTCCGCACTGAGGTCGCTGGAAGGCGGAGGTATTGCCATCTCACTGTTGCCAGCTACAGTTGCTGCTAGTGGGAGTTGATCATCACCCCAGCATCGATATCAGGCGATTCCCAGCACTGCGGGTCCTTCATTTTTTGCGATTTGGACCAACAACTCGCAAAGGGCTGGTGATACACCACATTCACCAAAAAATGTTGCTAGTGTTGATCCCTGTTGCAAACTGAAAAGAAAAAGACCCTCAAAATGCTTGTTGGTGGCAAGCTGTCCCTAAAGGGCACAAGACATGTTGTTTAGTGTAGAAACTCAGTTCAGTTTAGGTCTCCGGAAATCGTTTGTGTAATTTGCCGTCCACAATCCTTGACAGGTTGACGACCACATTAGTGAGGATTGGCAAAGCCAATTCTTTTATCACTCGTAGTTTCTCAGTTATGCCGATTATGCCAAACCTCCAAAAACTCATCGTGGATGAAAAACAATGAACACCAATTCAATTCTGTTTGCTATTTGTGAATTGGCCCAGCTGTCCACTGTGCAGATATCTTTAGAAAACACCCGCTTTGACTTGAGAACCCTGTGCTATCTCTGTGTCATTTACCCCGTACTTATTCATCTATTGTATCATCCATTTGGAAAGGTCACCATCGGCGTCATTTGTTCCACTTTGTGTCTTGCCCGCCTGAGGCTATCCCCGAACCTGGCCGTGCCCAAATCCATTGGAAATAAACATTGCCACCAAACCGTTGTCCCAATCGACTCATGAAATGACGACATCCTACCTTTATGCTCAACTCTGAAACCTCCACGACAGATCTAGTGAATCCCACTCACTTGGGTCTAAAGAACCAGCACTTGGGTCTGCGCTACGTGGACTCGTGCGTCGTCCACCTCTCTGGGTCTACGTGGATCCGTTGGATCTGAGAACACTCGACCCACGTCTTTGGGATTGGAATTGGAGGGGTGCGGAAGAACAGGGCCCATTTCACAGAAATTCACATCCCTATAGTTTTGTCCTCCTCAAGTGATCCACACCCAAGAATGATCCCAAGATATTCCATGATATTCCATCCTGACACGCAGCCACTATACAGTTCTGGTTCAAATTCCTGGTCCAGGATGGCCATCACTAGCCGAGGAACTTATCCAGGCATGTGCCAGCGGCCACTGTGGCCACTTCGAAACGCCAGCGCCCTGAGAGGTCTTAGGCTCTACGGCAATCATGGTGGGGTATTAATCCAGTGGTATGAATTGAGATGATGATGCAGATTCTGAAGGTCGTTGCGTGCTGGACAATCAGCTCCCAGGGGCCAGTGCGATCAAAATGCCCTTCCATTGGGGACTTGGCCCACACCTCACAGTACGCTTAAAATTCAGAGATTTATCTCAACTCTCAAGACATTCTTCTTTGAGACTAGGAGCACCACGTGACAAACCCTGTTATATAATGGGATGACCCTAATAGCAGAAGGCAGGGACATATCCAATACCTTTGAAATGGAATTCTTTGTTCGATTCCTTTGGGGAGTCACTTGTAAATCCTATTTTCACAGCCACAAAGGCGTAAGAAATCTCGCATGACACCGTGGTGCATGGAGCGCGCCGCATCGAAGCCACCAAGGGCGAAGGCAGCTGATGGCGGGCACAACCATTATGGCGGTGTGCGCTTTGTCAACAAAGAAAGCGCAAAGATAGGTCACCCCCATGGGCAAACTGGTTTCTCAAACATTGGAAAGGAACATCTTAGAAGCAGAAGCGGAAGCTAACCAACCGCGGTAACAAAAACAAAAAAAGGCGAACACCTTATCGAAAAACACTATATATGCGAGTGGATCTTAATCAGCGAAGTTTGAAGCTATCACTGACGATCCATAAGCGGCGTAGCGTCGGAACGGAAACCGCACCTTTTCTAGTCGCTTGATCCTTGAGCCAAAGTACATATGGTACATATATATGTACAAGTTGCACTGTACGTGTCGCTGCACTTCCATTCGCACCCCCCATGTGAACGGCAACAATATGTTCCGATCACACACGAAAATTTAGGGATGTAAGTGCTACAAAAGAAATTGTATGATTTGCCGCGAGACTCATATGAGGCTCATACTACGAAACATGCTGGACTAAAGCGGACTTTTACATATAAAGTGTGCAACTATGGCTCAGAACCTATGAGAAATCGAATTGAACAAGTGAGACAGTCACGAGGCCTCGCTCAGTATCCACTCAAAAGAGCATCGCTTTGATGTAGATCCGAACTGGTGACTTCCACGTAGATGTCACATCGGCAACTGACTTCACACTTCTCAAAAGATGTAGGTTTTGGTTTGGATACACTTACAGAACGGCAAGTCGGAGAGACAGTCGGTGACTGTCTGCCTTCCATTATGCTCATGGTATCAAATCGGATTGATGATTTGCAATGATACACTTACAGCGTTTCAGGTCAGATAGACATCCGGTGAATGACTTCCTCCCTGGTTTGCATGGTATCCTCATAGTCGTTCAAAGAAATCACCACTGGCGATAACCTCTCCATCCACGATGATCCCAGCTGCCCTGAGCATCCCGCCGATCATCTTCTCCCTTCTTGGACTTTCCCTTGGACTTGCTCTTTCCCTTCCCCTTTTCAGAAGGTTGAGGTACTTCGCGACGTTCTTGCGTTAGCGCCGGCCTCCAAGATGTTCCAGATTGGCCTCCTCCTTTGGAATGTCCTCGGGATGATGAAGAAGTTGTACCTTCTGCTGCATGTGCGTTGGCGGCAAGATCTTCCTGCAAAGCTTGCTCAAACACATCGGTAGCACTGGATGGTGATTTATCATGTGGTCTGGCTTTTGGAGCAGCCTTCGCCTTGCTCTCCTCTGCTGATGAGGGCCCGAAACTCTTAGGTGCTGTTGAAGGTTTTGGCTCCTCACTTGGTGCTGACGACGGCTTGGCCTCGGTTCTGGGTGTAGATGCTGGCTTTGCCTCAGCTCTTGACGAAGATGCTGCTTTCGCTTCAGACTTAGTCGTTGATGTTGACTTAGCTGTTGCCTTGGCTGCCTGCTTCTTCTTGCCCTGAATCTCCTTGGCCCTATCTCCAAAGCCTAGACGATCGGTAAGAGCTTGAACATGCTTCTGTTCTACCACGCTCATCCATCTCTCTGTATGTCCAATGTTGGGATTTCTGGCCATTGACTCTACGACATTCTGAGCGTGTGGGGGCAACCTGATCTCATGTTGATCAATGATCAGCAGAATAGACTTCTCCCATTTGCTCTTCATTCTCGAGTACATGATGTCCAGAGGATCGATCACCTTGTGGTTGGGTGATGTAACGTCGGTTCTAAAGTAAGAATATGTCCGACAACCATAAATCGCATGGATGCACTTCTGTACCAATTCAGTCATTGCGCTGGCTTTCTTCGCTTTCAACTCCTCAAGCTGGACGTCAGTCAAGTTGGTGGAGTATTCGAAGTTGCCATATTCCTTCTTGAAGGAGTACGGAGTATGACCAAATGATAGGATCACGAGTGCCACCTTGCAAATGAATTGCTCTCCTCTGAATCGGTGCCAGGCCTCCTCAATCGTAATCTTGTTTTCGTTGGCAAAGATTCTCATCATGTCATCTGTTGGATCCAATGGTCTCCCATCGTCATCGATTTCAGTGAAATCCTCTGTACCGAACTTGCTTATCACATCCAGTCGCTTCCTTTTCCAATTTGCTTTGAAGTCGGTAAGGCTGGTGCAATAGTAGCTCTTGTACATCAGGGAGATCATGTTCAGCACACATTTGACCACATACCTATCCATCAAACCCGATGCATTCATGGAGACGTCCTGACAGTAGGCTCTCTCTTGATGCGCATAGATTCGAGGTTCCGGTACTCGACAATAGATGGGGAGATCTTCGTTGTCTCTTCCTTCTTCGGGATTGAACTCGGTCGCTCCATGCTGTGCATAGTATCCCGGTTCATCACGATCTGTCGGTCGATTCGCCTCCGGATGTAAGTCGTCGGTGACGTCTTCATCCTCGGGTTCACCATCTTGACATTTCTTCCCCTCATATTGTTGTGTGCTCCTCTGGATCTCGATGATCACGTTTCGTTCGTCTTCATCTTCTAGATCAGAATCACGATCGTAGTCGATCTCGTCCTCATTGAAAGATGGGGTCTCGACATTGTCACTCTTGAAGTTTTCTGCACCATCAGACGGTTTGGAAGGATCTAGATTGTCCATGTCCTCGTCGTCGTCAGCTGCTTCAGTTTGAGCGATGTCTTCTTCCCAAGCCTTTCTGATCTCGTCCATAGTGGCCTGGTCCAAGATATCTTGATCATCATCTTCAGGCTCCTTCTCTTCCTTCTTTTCCTCTTCATCGTCGCTCACAAGATCAACGGGTGAATCGGAAATGACAGTGTTGCGAATACCACACGAGAGTAGCCTGCCTTGACAAGATAGACACACGGACAAAGATGAAGAAGTCAAATGCATACATGATGGACACAAAATATTGCCATCCACGTTGCGATACCCTTCACATGTTCTGGAGATGATTTCGTCCCAAGTTTCCTCACTGATGGAATCCTCGATCAGCTCTCCATTGTCATCGAATTGTACTTCATCGATAAGGGACACGAGCTTTTGGACGTTGTCATCTGTCGCCGAGGCTGACTTCGTGACTTCGTCGGCTCTCTCGAGGATGGTATGCTTCTGAGCAACCCAAAGTCCATGACGTGCCGCTAGAACAACTTGCTCTCCAGTGCTTCCCAGCAGGAGTCTCCTCCATGCCTGAACGTAGTCGTCCCAATACCAAGCACCTCGTACACATCTCCATGGAACTTCTCTAAAAACAACAGTGTAGGAATTCTCCGAAATTCTTCCCCCAAGCTTCCTCAAAGTCATGATTGGAACATAAAGGCAAACGGGCATTCCCACTCTTGGCCATCTTGATCTCAGAATCTTTGATGATCGATCATCCCACGGCGCAAAGTGGTTGAAGAAAACACTACCTCTATATCCCTCCGTTCCACCAGGGACAATTCCTAGTTTCATGATTGACTCAATATTGGAAAGCGATGTCATGTGAAAGCTTCCTCCAAGCTGCATTGCCACATTCTCTGGAATGAGATGTGAAGTCCACACAGGATATATTGACACATCCTCTTCAAGAACAGTCTCTCTTCCAGAATTGTGAGAGGCAACAGCTCGAATTGCACAAGGAACGATCCAACGTTCATGCTTCAGAAATGACGGTGCATCTGTGCTGTAATACATGAGGTTTGCCCAGTATTGCCTTTCCTCTTCGAGTGAGACATCCTCCCTTGAGATACGAATGGCGGCAATCTGATAGCGTACTCTGTTCTGCAACTTCTTTGCATGCCACATCGCCTTGCATAAATACTGGTATCGCTCTGTCTTGACATCTTGACGATGCCGATCATTTGAGATAGTACTTATATCGACACCATCGTTGAAGACATGGTCATATTCCAGGATCTCATCGATGTTCACCCATCCACCCTCATTGCACTTCGGGGACACATGAGGTTTTCGACCGCGGTGCGATTGAATCCCATTATGCTTTCCCACTCCATGCCTGAGTAGTCTATTGAGTCTATGGCTAACCTCGTTGACCCGCTGACTCTCCTCGCTGAACTTGTCGATGCGAGTTGCTGGGTTCATCTTTGGTGGATCCGTGAAAGTTGCATCTCTCTTCGGTCCATTCCAGTACTCCACATAGAATGTAACTCCATACTGTGGAATTATCTCGATGCTTCCTCTATCGCAAGTCACCTCAATCTGCCGATATCCAACCTTTTGAACTTGTTGTGGGTCAGGAGCAAGGTCCTTCACTTTGGGCATCTTTATTCCGAGTGCTGCAGCCTCCTGAATAAGTGCATCAAGTTCCCACTTTCCATTAGGACCTGATCTATCAACCCTGTGATTTGCGACCCTGTACTCTCCTCCTTCTTTGTCATCGGCAATGTCAAAGAGGTCGACGGGCTCTTTGAATCTGGTGACGAAACTGGCGTTCCCAAAGGCCTTCTTGGTTGCCTCGACCGCTTTCGCGTATTCCTCTTTTGCAGAGTCTGACGAGTGTGGTCTACCTTTGGCTCTCGGAGAGTGAGGTGGTACCTTACCTCCTAGTTCCGGTTCTTCTTCGGGAAGTTCAATATCTTCATCATCCACATCCATGTAGTCCTCGTCTTCGACGT